GTTCATTGGTCCGTTTGAGATTCTTGATCGAGTGGGAGAGGTGGCTTATAGACTTGCGTTGCCACCGAGCTTATCAGCCGTGCATCCAGTATATCATGTGTCCATGCTTCGGAAGTAGCACGACGATCCATCCCACGTGATAGATTTCAGTACTGTCCAGTTGGACAAGGACTTGTCTTATGAGGAGGAGCCAGTAGCTATTCTAGGCCGGCAGGTTCGTAAGTTGAGATCGAAGAGTTTTCCTTCTGTTCGTGTTCAGTGGAGAGGTCAGCCTGCTGAGGCATCGACCTGGGAGTCCGAGTCCGATATGCGGAGCCGTTATCCCCATCTTTTCCCCGACTCAGGTACTTCCTTCTTCTGTCCGTTCGAGGACGAACGGGTCATCACTTGTTTTAAAATGAAATTCTGCGTTACGAGGCTTTAAACCCCTCTTTTAGCATCACCTTGATTTGCGTGCGTAGTCCGGGCGCGTAGCCGGAAAGCCTATATGTGAAAATCTGTGAAAAAAGATAAATTTTGACTAAAATGAATTAATTTGACTTCGGTCAACGTTTTGGGTAAACGGACCCGGACCCGTGATTTAACAGTCCCGGAGGGTCCGTAGGAAAATATGGGACTTGGGCGTATGCCCGGAATCGAATTCCGAGGTTCCAAGCCCGAGAAATGAATTTTTAAAGAAAAATGTTTTCTGGAATTGTTTAAAGTATTTTGAAATAAACTTTGATTAGAACATGATGGTGTCGGGCCCGTATTTTGGTTCCGGCGCCCCGTACAGGTCTTATATATGATTTAAGATGATTCTGTGAAATTTGGTGAGAAACGGATGTCATTTGACGTGATTCGGACCTAAATTGCAAAAATTGATATTTTATGAAGTTTGAGAAAAATTCTTTGATTTTGAGGTTTAATTCGTTATTATTGAGGTTATTTTGGCGATTTGATCGCACGAATAAGTCCGTAGGATGTTTTGAGTTTTTGTGTGCACTTTGTTTGGAGTTCCGAGGGCTCGGGTGAGTTTCGGGTAGGTCCCGGGATGTCTTAGGCTTAAAAACATGGATGTTGCAGGTTCAGAGAAGTGCAAACCTCTGAACCCGCAGTGCTGACAGCAGTAGTTTTTGTGCTGTCCGCACTGGTGACTGTGCTGCCGCAGTTGATTTTGTGCGGTCCGCACAGATTCACTGGTCCGAATTCGGAAGCTCATATCTTTTTATCTACAAGGAATTTGGGGATGATTCAAAAACAAAGGTTGTAGATCTTTGAATCTAGTTTTCAGAAACATATTATAATAGGCATTTGGACATCGGTAGAGAAAGTTATGGCCAAAATACTAAGACCTGTCACTGCAGAATACAAGTAGTGTTGTGCGGCCGCAGTTGATTTTGTGCGGTCCGCACAGGGCATCTGAGAATAGTATATTTAGACGGGATTTTCAGTTATTTTTTATTTTTCAAAACCCCAAAAACATAAGAGGCGATTTTTCAAACAACCTTTCTTCTCCAAAACATTGGTAAGTGATTTCTAACTCATTTTCTTCACTCCTTAACATCTTTTAACATGATTTCAACTCACAATCAATGATTTTCATGGGGGAAATTGAGTGTTTTGGGTAGAACCTAGGTTTTTTAAAAATTGGGGATTTGGACATCGATTTGAGGTCCGATTTCAAAATAAATTATATATATTTGAGTTCTGGGGGAATGGGTAATCGGGTTTTGGTTCGAACCTCGGGTTTTGACCATGTGGGCCCGGGGGCGATTTTGACTTTTTGGGTAAAACTTTGGAAAATCCATTTTCATGCATTCAAATTGATTCATTTAGTGTTTATTGATGTAATTAAGTAACTTGTGACTAGATACGAGCGAATTGGTGGTGGAATCAAGGGGTAAAGCTATAATTGGATCGTGAATTGTGTTCATTGGATCGTGAATTGTGTTCGTGGCATCGAGGTAAGTGTTTGGTCTAACCTTAGCTTGAGGGGTTAGGAGTGTGTCCTATTTGCTAATTGTTTTCTTGTTGAGTACGACGTATAGGCATGGTGACGAGTATCTATACGTTGGTGTCGAGCATGACCGTGGGTCTTATATTGTGATTTTTATGACTTCGTCGTATTATTCATGCCTTGGTGAAAATTTCTATTTGTTGTGTAAAGCTGTGGAAAGAATTGTGACCTACGAACGTTGAGGAGCGTTGGCTCCAGTTGTATAACGAATTGTGAAGGTATAAGTGATAATTGAACCTCTAGAGCAGGGCTCGAGTTGTGAAGTGAATTATGAAGTAAAAGTGAGAAAGAGAAGAGATCATTATGTTGCCCCCTTGCCGGGCTATTGTTGAGTTGTGGTTCCCTTGCATTGTGTTCTTAATTGATATTACGGATGCTTAGGTTGATGATTCTTTGTGTTAGGTAAGGATTATGGTATAGCTAAGGTACTTAGGAGTTATGACAAGTTTGATTATAGCTGAGGTAGTTAGATGTTGGAATAAGTTGGGTTATAGTTGATGTAGCTAGATGTTGGAACAAGTTTGGTTATAGCTGAGGTAGTCAGATGTTATGACAAGTTTGATTATAGCTGAGGTAGTTAGATGTTGTAACAAGTTTGGTTAAAGCTGTTTCTCCCTTGTCGGGACGTATTTTCTTATGCTGTCGAATCCCTTGCCGGGATAGTGTAGACCTTTTGATCCCTTGTCGGGACTCTCGTTATAATTGTCAATATTATATGTGGATCGGTTGCACGCCGCAACAATATCATATATGGATCGGGTTGCACGCCGCAACAATATTATATATGGATCGGGTTGTACGCCGCAACAATATCATATATGGATCGGGTTGCACGCCGCAACAATATTTTATATGGATCGGGTTGCACGCCGCAACAATATTATATATGGATCGGGTTGAACGCCGCAACAATATTATATATGGATTAGGTTGCACGCCGCAACAATGATAAGTGAAATGGGAGCGGGTGACACGCCTGCCATGAGATACAGGAAATGGGATCGGGTTGCACGCCTGCAACAAGATGTGAAAAGAAAGTGAAATCTGCCTCTTTTTCCCTTATCCTTGTTAGTGGGTGGTTTTTTATTCCTTAATAATTCTCTTGATATTCTGTTTTTACTTGTTATTCCCCGAAGCATGTTTCCCCCTCCCATCTTTATTTGTTTATCTCTACTTTACTTTCCGCTGTATATTATACCACTGCACAGGTTTATTTGGTAGTCTGGTCCTAGCCTCGTCACTACTTCGCCGAGGTTAGGCTACGCACTTACCAGCACATGGGGTCGGTTGTGCTGATACTACACTCTGCACTCTTTTGTGCAGACCCCAGTGTTGTAGACTTCGGACGCAGTGGGATTGCTGATTCTTGTTCATCAGGCGACCCGAGGTAGTCCTACAGGCGTCCGCAGGCCTTGGCGTCTCCTTCTATCTACTATTCCTGTTTCTTTCATGCAATTCCAGAGACAGTGTTGTATTTATTTCTTTCAGACCTTTATTTGTAGTATTCTTAGACCGTCTGTGAAACTGTGACACCAGTTCTGGGTAGTCGATACTTAAACAGTTGTATTAGATATTCATGTTCAGATAGTTTATTGTTTTTCTTCCGCTTATGTTAAATTCCGCTGTTAAAATGTTATTTCTTCGTAATTGTTAAAGAATATGAAATAGGTAAAAAGGTAAATTGTTCAAATAATTGGCTTGCCTAGCTCACATTAGTAGGCGCCATCACGACTCTCGGGGGTGGGAAATCCGGGTCGTGACACTTTATGTATTGCTTTTAAACTTGAATGTGGGCTACTATTTGGATGTTTTTATGCCCAAAATTGTTAGGTTTAAAGGTTGGTATTGTTGGTTTAAGATGTGTTAATGGTTGGCATTGTTGGTTTAGAATTTGTTAATGTATTGTTAATTTAGATTGTGTTAATGTATTATTGGTTCGTATTATTGTATTAATGTATCGTTGGTTTAGATTGTTGTTAATGCATTGTTGGTTGGTATTTTTTGTGTTCGTGATAGTTTGACAGGTAGTGTAGCTCGAAATTGGGCAGAATTCTGCCCAGTTTTATACAAATTTCCGACTGAATTTCGACAGAAACGGTCGGACAGCTCCCCAGATTTAATCATAAATTCTCAGATTTCCAACTGATTCGGTCAGAAATGTAAAAAAAAATTAATATTCAGAAATTTTCGACGGATTCCGTCGGAAATTAAATAAAATTTAATTTTTAATTATTAATTTCCGACTCATTCGGTTGGAAATTCAACCAAAAAAAATTAATATTCAAATAGTTTTTGACGGATTCCGTCGGAAATTAAATAAAATTTAATTTTTAATTATTAATTTTACTTGTATTATTACAACCGATTCAGTCGGTAAATTCCGACCACTTTAGTCGGAAACGTGAATTATTTGGTTGTCTGGCCTTTTTGAAATTTGCGACCACTTTGGTAGGAAATCACCGACAAATTCGGTCGGAAATTATTTTCCGACCAATATTTTTCCGACCGACCAATTTCGGTCGAAAAGTAGTCGTTCCGACCGTTTTGGCTGTCGGAAATCTGCCATTTTCTAGTAGTGCTAGTAGATACAACATTCTCTAAATAGGTATTTTAGGAGTTAGGGTAAGCAACGGTAAAGTTGTATTTGTTTGACCTATAGGTCACAGATTCGAGCCGTGAAAGTAATCACCAATGCTTGTATCAGGGTAGGCTGTCTATATCTTCCTAATGCGGCCTTTTCCCTAACCCTGCGTGAATGTGAGATGCTGTGTGCACCAAACTGCCTTTTTTTTAGGTATTTTATAGTAATATTTCATGTGTACTTGTCTTTCCTCTATTACAGTATAACTATTTTTTTTTTTTCTTTCTACAGACTGTGCTTTGAACTTCGACGTTTGACCTATTGGTGGCATCACGTGCTCATCTACCTCATAACCTGATGATCTTAGTGATATAAAACGATGCATCCAAATATTTAGACAGCAGACTTTCATTAATCTGATACTAGAATATTAACGTTTGAGTGTTCTCAGTAATTTGTTTCTATAAGGTTTTAAAGTCTGATTTAAAAAAAAAAATTAAGAATCCATGGCAGCTTGTGTAATTGGTGGCACTGGTTTTATGGCAACTTTGCTTGTCAAGATTTTGCTTGAGAAAGGGTACACTGTTAATACAACAGTCCGGGACTCCGGTTCGTTTTTAGATTTAACTTATAAACACTGACAGCATAAAGAATACTTACTCTGACAATATATTTATCTAGTTCTAACATGTCTGCTTTATTTTTTAGAAAACTAGTTCACCTTATGTTCAGAGTTACACATTATTTTTCCCAATGATCTAGTAGTCTAAAAATTCTTTAATATTGTTTAATTTCTTATAGGAAATCAAAAGAAGATCTCTCACCTCTTAGCATTACATAGTTTGGGAAAATTGAGAATTTTCCAAGCTGATTTAACTGATGAAACAAGCTTTGGTGCACCTATTGCTGGCTGTGACATTGTCTTCCATGTTGCAACACCAATTAATTTCGCTTCTCAAGATCCAGAGGTATAAAGTTATACCAAGTACTCTTAAGCTTTCAATAACGTAACATATAATCGCTATAGGTAATTGAGGGCCGGTTCAGTGGGTTCAACTGAACCAGTTGCTTTAGTTTCAAACATTCAAATGTATGCACACAACACATAATAAGATCGCGCTCATTCTGAACTCATATACTCTAAAATGTTGATTTATCTATGTTAATCGTCGTTCCCTTTTTGTGGTAGAATGATATGATCAAACCAGCAATAAAAGGAGTTCTCAATGTTCTGAAAGCCTGTGCTAAATCAAACACAGTTAAGCGTGTAATCTTGACCTCATCAGCTGCAGCTGTGACTATCAACAACCTTAATGGCACAGGCCTCGTCATGGACGAGTCTAATTGGACGGACGTCGAGTTTCTGACTTCGACAAAACCACCCACCTGGGTAATTTTTCAACATTATTGTTAACATCGCATGTGATTACCTGATTAATTACTGTGTGAAAGTTATAACATGAATTGTGTAACCACTTCATTTATGAGGTTAAATTTTTTACTTAAATATGTCCTCAACATGTAACCTTATGTGCGAGCCTGATTCTTTTTGTTACTGGTCAAGCACATGGAAATTGTTCTTTGAATCTAGAACCTCTATTCACTATGCTACCATATTGAATTGTGTGGCGACCACATCAAAAAGTTAAACCGTCAAGGAAGAAACACTACTGAAGGTCATTACTGTGTTAGATCAAATACTTCAGTAAGAGCATTCTGGTAAGCTTGATCCTCGGGTTAAGGTAGCTGTCAAGGAATGAATCAAAGACCTAAGGACGTTTTCAATACTGAGTGTAGAGTTTTATGTACTTAACTATGTCCTTTAAAATTATGGGTCACGGAAGATCTGCATGAACAAAGATGATTAGTTCTTTTTCTAATATGCAGGGGTACCCTGTCTCTAAAACATTAGCTGAAAAAGAAGCTTGGAAATTTGCAGAGGAGAACAATATTAAACTAATCACTGTAATTCCATCTCTCATGGCTGGTTCTTACCTTACTCCAGAAACTCCAAGCAGTGTTAATCTTGCCATGTCCTTGATCACAGGTCTCAATAAAATATAAGCAATATAATTGAATTTTCTGAGTAAAAATGCAAATGAATATAGCTCAGAGAATCTGACCTTAAATTTGCAATTTTTTGACAGGGAATGAATTCCTTATAAGTAACTTGAAGAGTATGCAGATGTTATCAGGTTCAATATCTATTACACATGTGGAGGATGTTTGTCGCGCCCATATTTTTGTTGCTGAGAAAGAATCAGCTTCGGGACGATACATTTGCTCTGCCATCAACACCAATGTTCCGGAGCTAGCAAATTTCTTGAAGAAAAGATATCCAACTTCGGATGTTCCTACAGAGTAAGTAAGGATGTTCCTATAGAGTAAGTAATGTTACAATATTAAGCAACAATTGTTCATACTTGGAATGATATAACTAACTTTTCAAGAACAAGTACAAATATTTCCTTGTAAATGAACCTACCTTCTTGAATAAGCAGTTGAGCTCGTTGTCTCAGACCTTTCTAGGGCGTGACCCCTACCCTAACAGAATGACACGCCCTAGAGAAAACGACGTGAAACTGTTTACCAAACTGTAGGAGTAAAAGAGCAGGATTTACATAACAATTTTCCTTTTTACTCTATTCCATCTTATATTCATAGACTGCATTATCTTTATGGTTTACAACTTTAAATACTGACATATATCTGATTGATCAATTGCAGTTTCGGGGACTTCCCCTCCAAGGCCAAGTTGATCATCTCATCAGAAAAACTCATCAAAGAGGGATTCAATTTTAAGTATGGGATTGAAGAGATTTATGATGAGTGTCTTGCTTGTTTTAAAGATAAGGGGTTTAGAACTGAATAGTTCAGTTAATCTTGTGCCAAAGAGCAGCAACACTTCTATCAGCATTTGCTTTGAAGAAGAAAAAAATGAATGTAGTTGCGAAAGAAGGAAGATGTTATATATAAAATAACTATAGTTGGACTTCTATCATCCCAAACCATCATCAAGAAGTACTGAGTTAAGTGGTAGACCTCTCCTCTTCAACGAATTTTGAGGGACTACATATGATTTATTATATAACAGGAAACTAATTTTTGAATGTTCTTTTCTTTTGGTCGTTTCCATTTAGTTCTAATTCGTTGAAAGAAATATGGAAAGAAAAAATAATAATTGAAATAACGTTCATTAAGATTGATCAAAAAAATCTTCCTTGCTTAAACTCCAGCTCGATCTATTCGTTCTTTGAGGAGTTCCACTATTTATCTAATCATATTTGATGCTCTTATGCTAATTTTTGTGGTGTAGAATCCTCTAATTTTGGAAAACCAAGTTAATTGATAAATGAATAAGAACCCTTTGTAACATAACAGAGGAGGTGATCTTGTATAGCCAGTTTGCCACACATAATAATGAGTCACACTATAAATACGGCTATATCATAGAGTATAGATTATAGCATTTTGATGTCCACAAGTATGCATTTGTCTGATAATATAGAGCCTTAGTTGATATTTGAGTTGACCCTATTGCCTCAATAATCTGGTATGCGATGGCGAAATCCTAAATGGCAATAAAATCACTTGTAAAATATAATATTGAAAGATTTAATTCAAACCTAATATAAAAAGATTTAATTCCAATTCAAAACGTGCATACAGCTTTCAAGTTAAGGAGGGACTATTTAGCACCAATCACTTGATGTGTTCCACCTTTTTATATTTTTAAATTCCATTGGCAGCGTAAACCAGATCGAATTCATCAGAACTTCCCCAGGGAGCAATAGATTCGGTTCAAGAGCAAAACCATCTAATCATTTTGATACTGACACTTTTTCCTAACCGAGTAATCCTCAAGGGTCGGTGTCGCAAAGTTCGGAACTCGGTGAACAATGGGCTCACCTTCTCTACCCTTCTCCACTTAAACACCAGGCCTTCTTTTTTTTTTTTTTGTGACAGGATTTGATCTCATGACGTGCACCTACCACACATCACATGTTGCGCTCTTACACTAGACTAAAGTCTAGAAACATTTGATACTGACACAGTGACATTAATCAAATTAGGATTTAACTAATCAGAAACAGAAGCAACATATTTCCTGCTAATGACTATCTGAGAGCACTCATATTCAGGTACAGTGATTCTTGCACTTTCTTGTTGGAGACCGACTTCCTTTATTTTGTTGTTTAGTATCATATTTACTAAAAGAATAACACGGTGAGCAAGGATTCCCAGTGCATAGTTTCGGGGAGAGTTTAGATATTAACAACTTCTCCCCTGTAATATTGCAAACTTGCACCTTAATTTCATGACACCTTTATTGGTTATTAATAGTTATCACAAAAACAAAACCATTAATACTTGTTAACCAGTTGACAGTAAGTAGGCCACAAAATGTTTCATTAACTATAGAGTATTCTTCTTCAAGCATTTGAAATGGCACAAGAGGCAAAGAGATTAGATCTTTGGTGAGGCTAAACTTGAAATAAATCATAGCACGTTAAAGAAAATTGAAAGGAATTTCAACCACAAAGACGCAAATACCATTTTCTTTTGTCGTTGATACTTGTGTGCGATAGTATATTCTGTTAAGGGTCTTAATATATCACCTATACCCTTAGGGACAACTCTGACCATTTTCTTACATGTACATTTTTTTTTTTGAGAAGGTAACATATTTTATATATAAGATACATTTTCTTACATGTACGTAAGAACTTTTGTATACATGTTTATCATCCTTATGAGACTACACTAAAAGTAGCTTGTACAATTCATATCCATATCTGAGAAATAGTTCTACTTGCCAGATCGTTATAGGCATGGAATATCCTTGCTATAGAGTAAAATGTGTCCATCTTAGGATATTAATCAAAACACATATGTAATCAGTTACCATCTTTGAATCATTAATCACAACCAATATGTAATCATCTCCAAGCTGATTTCGAAATCTATGGGTCAACTTTTCCAAGGTTCTTGTAGTACATAAGAAATGCATCTATACTATGTCATACTCATTCATGTTGCTATTAGAGGAAGGCTATAGAAACGTATTGCTCTAAGGTTATCGCATATGATTAATGAATCAATGCAACTCCGAAGAAGCTCCACTTGGAACAGCGAGGTGCAATGCAAACCAAGCGATATGCAGTTGCTTCTACAAATCTGACATTAAAATATGGCACTTTGACAAAAAGGAGGAGAAAAGACAGTCTTTTGTTGTCTGAGAACAGTTACTTTGCGATAACTTTTCTACTATCCATTTGAATTATATCTTCTTCTTTTTCAATTATCCATGATGACATTTTCTCCTCCTTGTGGGTCCTCTTTTCTGCTACTTATACGTCTTCTTCTTCTCTGTTAGACTCTTTATCTCCTTTTTTAGTATGCTCTTTATTTTGCATATTATTCCCTAAATCATGATTTATAGGCGGCTTTTTTGGAAAATAAAGAATGACTCGCAAAAAGCTGATTGTTGAGAAATGGCTCTTGAAGAAAGGCTTATAATGAGATAAAGCTATATAATATGATGCTGGATGCTGTAACTCAATTTTTTTCATTCTTGATTCAGTGGACTTGTTGAAATACGTTTTAATGAGAATTAAGTGAATATAATGCAAACTATGACATTGGCAGGTAACAACACTATCAGAATTTTTCTAGCGATTACAAAAGGCAGAATGGAGTACAAAGCTACTAAAATGTAAGCTACTAATTTCTTAACTGAGATAATATACAGCTAAGATATTTATACAAAAGCCTAAAAGGTACTAGAGAGGGTCATTTTTAGTTGGAAGCTTTCTACTATTAAACCACCAAGAAGTGAAGCCACTAAGCCGATGGAAAACTCACACACAAACGGCTGAGCAAATTATAAGTTCATTTGATATCCCAAACAACAATATATCTCATAACTAACAGTCATGAAACAACCATCAAATTAAGTTCTTACACGAGGTTAACGTACCAAAATCAGCATCTAATATGCTAAGAAACCAGCTGCTGGTCCCTTAGTCATCTGAAGGCAGATTGAGCTTATAAAGATGGTAGTCATTTGACTTGCCCAAACCCATAACCTCCTTAGCTTCCCAAATCCTTGACGATTTCACCAATCCGTTCACCACTCCTTGCAACAACTCCGCATCAACATGACACTTCTTTTTAAAAACATCTTTGCACAACTCAAAAGCCCAATCAAAATCACCCTTTTCACAAGCAGCCATAATGACACTTCCAAATATAACCTTGTTTGGAGAAGATCCACTCTTCACCAATTCTAAGTACCACTTTTTAGCCTCCTCCAAGTTACCCTTATCACAATATCCTCTAATCAAAGCACCATAAGTAAACACATCAGGCTTTAAGTCAAAACTTCCGAATTCGCCAACAAGCTTGGCCGCCTCCGAGACATTGTTATTATGAATCAATCCAACCAACTTAGCATTGTAACTTCTAATATCCGGAATAACATTCTTGCTAACCATTAATTTCCACGTTTTTTCGCCAGCGTCAAACTTACCAGTTGAGTAAAGTGCACCAAGTATGGTATTAAATGTAACCAAATCAGGTTTTAACTCGCTCTTTTCAATCTCATCAATCAAAGCAGCTGCTTTATCCAATGCCCCTTTATCACACAACCCCTTAATCATAATATTATACGTGACTACATCGGGCTTCACCTTAAGTTTTTTAGGCAATTCCTCAAACAAAGACTCAAGTTTGTCGTATTTCTGTGAATTGAGACAAGCCCCCAAAAGGGCATTAACGGATTTCAAAGTTTGCTTACAATTTCTGTCGGGCATTTCATCAAACACTTTCTGTGCATTCTCAAACAACCCACATTTTCCGTACAAACTAACGAGCCTTGCAGCGAAACTCTCTTTGGAAATGTCGGGTCTGTATTGCTTTTGGTGTTCGAGGATTTCTTCGATCCATTTGAACTTTTTGGCTGAGGCTAATCGCTGAACTGTAGACTCGTAAATGCCGTTTTTGGTGCGGAAACGGTTGACATCTGAATACTGTTTGAATTTTTCGACGAGTCTTTTGAGGTTGCGCTCTTTGTATAAGTCATCGGAGATGGCTCTGATTGGAGATAATGAGGTAGTAGTAGCAGTTGAGAAAGTACGGCGGATCACTCTGGTAAAAGTGGCCATTTGGGGAGTGTAGAAGTAAGGTATTGAGAAAGACTGTGGAGTGTAGGGTTTATGGGGAGTAGCTAACAGGGTTTTGATGCAAATGGTTCTTTTTTCTTTTCGTTTGTACTTAGATAATTTTATAAATAATACTTTTTTTTTATTTAGAGCCTGTTTGGACATAAGAAATTTTTTTCTTTTTTTCAAAATATTTGTATTTTATCACTTGTTCATAAAATTTTCATTTTCACTTGAAATTGCATTTTAAAAAACTCCAAAACCCTGTTTTTCAAATTTTCACTCAAATCACTCACAAAACTTCAAAACAACCCAAAGTTATATTCATGTCCAAACACAATTCAAAATTTCAAATATCATTTTCATTTGAAAATTTTTTCACCCTTCTTTGGAATTTTACAATTCTTATGTACAAACGCCCACTTAGTTGACATAAAATAAATATAGTAATTTCAACTATATATGCTAAAATAAACCTTACTTTTGAAATTTGTCACGTTTAATTCTCTTGTATTTTATTACGTCTAAATGTTGTTTAAAAAAATTATATATTATTTATTGTAATATAATAATAATAATTATAATAATAGTTATTAGTAATTTTATTTAGAGACTCTTATGTTTTAATAAGGACAAAGCTTTGCATCACTTGTTACACATGTAATAAATATGTCAACTTCAATATAATTGGGGATTAATATATCAATATTTGAGATGAATCAAAATCAGAAAATTACCTTCGGTAATAGAGGCATATAGAAAAAAAATGAAGATAATGAAGTTTTTTCTGATTTTTTTCTGAAATAGAATACTTTTAAACTCAAGTGCAAGAAAAGATGAAACAACAATAATTTTTTTTAAATATACCCACTTTTCCCACAATAGTTACATCAAGATGTTCTTCAGATTGAAAATATGTTCTCATGGTTCCGTAGACATAACACAAAAAATTATATCCACTTATAGTGCTATTGCCGAAAAAATTAAAAATTATTAATATTAGAAGAAATATTAGTTCAATGTACAAGCATTACCTTGGCGCAATCTTTATATTTCCGCAACTTTTCTCTTCATAATATAATAAAATGGGAGCAGGTGGCACGCCTGCCACAAGATACATGAAATGGGAGCGGATGGCACGCTTGCCACAAGATATGAGAAATGGGATCGGGTTGCACGCCTGCAACAAGATGTGAAAAGAAAGTAAAATCTGCTTTTGTTTCCTTATTCTTGTTACTGGTTGGATTTTGATCCCTTTATAATTCTCTTGATATTGTATTTTTACCTGCTATTCCCCGAAGCATGTTTCCCCCTCCCATCTTTATTTGTTTACTTCTGTATTTCTTTTCCGCTGTGTATATTTGAACTGCACAGGTTTATGTGGTAGTCTGGTCTAGCCTCGTCACTACCTCGCCGGGGTTAGGCTAGACACTTACCAGCACATGGGGTCAGTTGTGCTGATGCTACACTCTGCACTCTTTTGTGCAGATCCCAATGCTGTTGACTTCGGACAGTAGATCAGCTGGCTACCTTCAGTCTACGCGGAGATCCAAGGTAGACCTGCAGGCGTCCGCATGCCCTGGCGTCTCCTCTATCTTCTATTCACTGTTTCATTTTCCTTGTTTCAGAAACAGTGTATCGTTATTTCTTCAGACCTTGTATGTAGCAAATCTTAGTCCGTCCGTGACACTGTGACACCAGGTTTTGGGTGGTTAAGGCTTAAGTATTTGTAATAGCTACAGTTTTCATAATGTTATTGTTGTCTTCCGCTTAAATTTGAATTTCCGCTGTTATCACGTTATCGCCTTATATTTGTTAAAAAGGAAATAATTGCTTAATGAAGTATTTAGATTAAAAGCTTGCCTAGCTCACATTAGTAGGCGCCATCACGACTCACGAGACTGGGAAATCCGGGTCGTGACAGTGTATCCAACTGGAGACTTGTTGATCTTTAAGTTTTTGAGGATGTGTATCAGGTTCCTTATCTTGTTCTTAATAGTAAGTTTGTTATATCATCAAAATATAACAGGGATACACATATTGTGCCTCTTTGATTGCCCACTTTTATTGTACTCTTTAAACCATTCTGTTTGCAAACTTCAAAGTAAACTTTTTGAACCTTATTCTACCGTTTCAAGCCTCTCATCTTCCCCTCTAATTACGTATTAATTGATATATTAACATATGATATTTGTGCTTATTTGGCTAATGAATTTAGGCATCTATTGCCAGCCTACAAGAGCAAATTTAGAAATGGAGGTTAGCATAGTAAATACTTCTGTGAGTTCTTTGAAAAGGTATGGATTTTTGGTGCTTTCGAATAAACTAGAAGCTAATTTTATGTGATTTATGCTATCTAGTATGACTTTTAGTCTTTTGCTCTACTTTAAGTAATTTTTAGGTTTTGCTTTAAATACTTGGATTTTGAATATATCATTGTTATTATGAGCACGTGGTAGGCATACCACCCACTTCCATTTCATATATCTCGTGGCAGGCGTACCACTCGCTCCCATTTATTATATCTTGTGGTAGGCGTACCACCCGCTCCCATTTTATTATATCTTGTGATAGGCGTACCACCCGCTCCCATTTCATTACCAACAATAATCACAAGGAATCCCGGCAAGGGAACAATAATATCAAACAAACATCCCGGCAAGGGAACAATGATGATAATAACATGTGAGGCACAATAAACCACAACAGAGTCATAACAATGTATAACACAAGACTCACGGGCATGCTTGACACCGACGTATAGATACTCGTCACCATGCCTATACGTCGTACTCCACAATTAACACGTAGCAAATAGACACAACTCATAATCCCTCAAGCTAAGGTTAGACCAAACACTTACCTCGATGCCACGAATACAATTCACGATTCAATTATAGCTTTACCCCTTGATTCCACCACCAATTCGCTCGTATCTAGTCACAAGTTACTTAATTACATCAATAAACGCTAAATGAATCAACCCCAATGCATAAAAATGAGTTTTTCAAAGTTTTACCCAAAAAGTCAAAAATCGTCCCCGGGCCCACATGGTCAAAACCCGAGGTTCGGACCAAAACCCGATCACCCATTCCCCCACGAACTCAAATATATAATTTATTTTGAAATCGGACCTCAAATCGAGGTCCAAATCCCCAATTTTTGAAAAACCTAGGTTCTACCCAAAACAACCAATTTCCCCCATGAAAATCATTGATTTGAAGTTGAAATCATGTTAAAAGATGTTAAGAATTGAAGGAAGTTAGTTAAAATCGACTTACAATTGATTTGGAGAAGAAGAAATCCTTGAAAAATCGCCTAAGTGTGTATATGTTTTGAGAGAATATGAAATGGTAAAAATTCGGCTAAGTATAAAAGTTGCAGGTCTGATGTGGGATTGCGAACAAGGGGTTTGGGAATTGCGAAGCCTGGGAATTGCGAACATGGGTTTGGGAATTGCGAACATGGGTTTGGATGAACGCCTGGGAAATTGCACATGGGTTTGGAATTGTGAAGCTTGGGAATTGCGAACAATAAGTTTGGGATTGCGAAGCTGAGAATTGCCGAAAGGGAGGTTGGTAAATGCGAAAGCCTGCAGGCTGCAATTCCTTAAGTCCAAAATTTCACCCCGTGGCTATCCAAAACTCACCTGAGCTCTCGGGGCTCCCAAACTAAATATACACACAACCCTCAAAAACATCCTACGGACTATTCGTGTACTCAAATCACAAAATAACATCAGGAACATCCATTAAAACACTCAATCAATGAAATTTTTCAAACTTCTTAAAACATCAAATTTTTCATTTAAAGTCCGAATCACGTCAAATGACATCCGTTTCTCCACCAAATTTCATAGAATCATCTTAAATCATATATAATACCTGTACTGGGCGCCAGAACCAAAATACGGGCCATCGAACCAATATTGTTCTAATCAAATTTCATTTCCAAATCCTTTAAAACAATTTTCTTTAAAAAATTCATTTCTCGGGCTTGGGACCTTGGAATTTGATTCCGGGCATACGCCAAGTCCCATATTTTTCCTACGGACCCTCCGGGACCGTCAAATCACGGGTCGGATCCATTTACCAAAACATTGACCGAAGTCAAATTAATTCATTTCATAGGTCAAAATTTACCATTTTTTCACAGATTTTCACATTATAGGCTTTCCGGCTACACGCCAGACTGCGCACGCAAATCGAGGTGAGGCTAAAAAGGTTTTTTAAGGCCTTCAAAACGCAGAATTCATTTTTAAAAAACAAGTGATGACCCCAGTCATCACATTCTCCACCTCTAAAACAACCGTTCGTCCCTCAACGGACAGAAGAGGGAAGTACCTGAGTCGGGGAAAAGATGGGATAACGGCTCCGTATATCGAACTCGGACTTCCAGACGTATGCCTCAGGAGGCTGACCTCTCCTGAACACGAACAGAAGGAAAACTCTTCGATCTCAACTGACGAACTTGCCGGTCTAGATAGCTACCGCTCCTCCTCATAAGACAAGTCCTTGTCCAACTGGACAGTGCTGAAACTCTAACGCGTGGGATGGATCGCCGTGATACTTCCGAATCCTGGACACATGAACACTGGATGCACGGCGATAAGCTCGTGGCACGCAAGTCTATAAGCCAGCTCCTCCCACTTCGATCAAGAATCTCAAACGGGCCAATGAACTATGTTAAGCTTGCCCTTCTTCCCAAATCTCATCACGCCCTTCCATAGGCGACACTATCGAAGCAATACGCCGCTCACGCGACCATGAATGCCAAATCACGCAACCTTTCGGTCGGCATAGCTCTTTTGCCTGGACTGAGCTGTACGAAGCCCATCGCTGAATAATTCCTAACCTTGTCCAAGGCATCCTAAACCAGATCCGTACCCAACAACCGAGCCTATCCCGGCTCAAACATCCAAACCGGAGACCGACACCGTCTACCCATTTAAAAGCCTCATAGGGAGCCATCTGAATACTCGACTGGTAGCTGTTGTGTAGCAAACTCCGCTAAAGGCGAAAACTGATCCCACGAGCCTCCAAAGTCAATAACACAAGCTCGGAGCATATCCTCCAAATCTGAATGGTCCGCT